TTTCACAAGATCCACACTTCAGGCATGTTTATACAATGAATGCGCCAGTGTTTCCTGGCAGACTCGGGGAGGGAAGTGGGTGGGGGGGGGATGGGAGTGGGGGAGAGGTAGGGTCGTGAAGAAATGATTCTGTCCAAACAAATACTTCTGTTAGTGCAATGTCTCTGTTTCAGGGTAAATCAGCCCCTCTGCCCCATCTTTATGATACTCATCAGTAAATGCGATTTTCCTATGGCATTTTAGAACGTTGCTTTTGATCCACCGCACTTTAATATTGTGATGAGAGACATCAGCTTCTGCTGTGCAGACTCTGTTGCTATTTCTTATGGAGAAATACCCAAGTTGTTCTGATTTGCCAAGTTATTGATGACTTCTTCCTGGTGGCTCAGTGGGTAAATGCAGAGCCTCGTAGTTTACTGAACCTTCTGATCAGAGAACTACTGGGTTCTACCTCTGTTTCGTGCTGGTCAATTGGTCTGAGTCACTAAAGCTAGGCTGGGCAAAATTAGTCAGTGAATTCCCTCGAAGTGCCAACCCCCCACCCCCCACACACATATCCAAATAGCCTGCCAACACTAAATGGGATCTAAGTTATGTTAATTGCTAAAAATAGCACTCTTTTCACTTGGGCTTTATAATAGGGATTCGTGTTATGAAGACACAGCAGAAAGATTGCTAACTGTGTTAATGATTAGTGTAAAATGACCCTATAATGGTTACATAATGATAAATAACAGTTACATAGTGGGTGGGGGTAACCAGAAGGTAACCAGTTGGTTAGCATAGCAGTGTAAGGAAAGGAGAAATGGAGAGGAATTTGAGGAAAAAGACAAGATTTTATTCTCAGATGAAGGGGTGCAATTGTGAATCCTCTAGGCTGCTTTCAACAGTATGAGAGTAAAAAGACAGCGTTACGAGCACAGTGAATTTTAGCGGATCTTATTCTTGACAAATTCAGTGTGAACTTTGTGAATGTAAAAGCTGTATAAATGACACCTTGCTGGTTTTCCATGCAAATTAAGAGATGGCAATGACCGACCAGAGGGGGTAGGTGGAAAACCAGGCAAGTTCAAAGATGTTGGGTTCCTTTTCTGGGGACGAATACAGAAAGCTTTGCTCTGCCTGTTACGCAAGCCTGACAAGTGAGTGCTTGATAAGCAATTGTAGATTGAGATTTGTTCTGCATCTAACCCATACTGTACCTGACCTAGGAGCTGAATACTAAATAATAAAAATTGGAACTCCTCATCTTGAAAAGTGCAACATTTTCCTGTCTCCCAAACCCCCCACTGAGGAAAAAGATCAATAAACGAGGCACAAATATAAGATAATCACAGAAATAGTTATAGGGAAGTTTAAAAAAAATTATACAGAGGACATTTGAAATGTTGAATGCTCTGCCACAAACCATATTTGAAGCACATTCCATATACTCTGTTAAAAGGCAATTAGATAGATGTTTGAAAAATAACAACTTGTTGATAATGACTTAGAGCAGTTCACACGGATGGGTTTGGATGCGGAGCAAGGGAAAAGGGGGAAGGCAGGACGGTAGAGGTGATTGTAGACAAGGTCAAAGAGGGTAGCGATCAGAAGAGTGGGACTACATTAGATAATAATAATAATAATAATAATCCTTGCATTTGATATAGCGCTTTTCACGTTGGGAGGACGTCCCAAAGCGCTTCATAGAATATACTGTAAAGTGAATTGACTGTATATTTGTGGGCGAACGCGGCAGCCAATTGCGCACAGCAATGTCCCACAAACAGTCGTGGATTGAAAATGACCAATTTATTATTGTTTTTTGTTTTTTGGAGGGATTATTATTAGGCTCTGTGTGGAGTAAGGAAACTTGCCCAAGGTTTCGCCCTGCCTGGAATTGAACTCATGTGTCTCAAGTGAAGAAAATTCAGACTTGATAAACCAAATATCCTGTTTCTGTCTTGTAACATTCTATGAAACGCACTTTTGAGAGATCTGCAGTAATGTGAGATTTAGATGGTTGGTTTAGGGTCAAGCCTAGTTAAGTTTTCAAGGCTTGGCTTGTGATTTGTTTGTTCCCAGTAACAAAATGATGGGATTGTAAGTGGTCTTATTTTAGTTGCATTGCATATCCTTTAGACCTTGTGATAATTATGTACACAAACTCAGGGACCCTAAAACAGTTGTAAAGAACATTAACAAATCCTCACGGTAGGTTTCCAGTTACAGCACTGAATAGAGCTACACATGTAATGGTGGGGTAGATAAATACCAGCTAGACAGTTTGTTCCTCACAGAATCCCTACAGATATACTGGTGAAATGTGAGGGGAGACATGGAATTGGAGATAGGTTGAAGCAAGCCTGTCAAATGTACAGTGGCTTCTTATATTTTTACAGTTGTTGATGCTTTACTAGTAGATAAAATTATCTTTGGCAACTGTCTATCAAATCTGCTTAATTAAAATGGAAATACACCTTTACCCCACTGCTCTCTGAGAATATAATCATCTGGAATGCATTTGCACCATGTGATATTGACCAAGTCCAGATCACTATTGCACTTGTTTACCAAAACTAGTTTCCTTTTTATCCCCTTGACTTAAGCATGCACACAGATCTGACTTCAAAATTAGCCCACATAGAGAGACAGTGAGAGAGAGAGAGAGTAAGGGGAGGTTGATTGGTGCTGATTAAGTGAAACTAACCTGAAATTGACACGTATGTTGTTGAAACTGACATGCAGATTGTTGGAAAAGGGATATTGCAGCTGACATTTCCACTCAGGGAAATTTCCTATATTTGGGAAAATTTTGGTCACCAGGCCCGGCCACATGTCCTCATGTTTATAAATTCCATGCAAACTTATCCCAGGAAACCCATAGTGCTGCATCTTCCAACCATTTCTCATTTTGGTCTGTGAGTATTTTTAACCATTTCAGCTACATCAGTTTCAAAGTATTCCTTCTGGCCACCCGGCCCCGGCCAAAGTCACCAGCTGCAAGGTTCGTACTTTGCAGGAAGCCTCTCAAAGTACTTTCTAACAAGTCTCCAGGGCGTCCCGTATTTCCCCCCTGAATCCAGCGCTTTGAAAGATATCGCCACATAAGGACCTGTATGAGGTGCAGCGCGCTGGTTGACAGGGCCGTCTTTGCCTCCCAACAGATGGTGCGGCTCTTTATTTCAACAACCCACTCATCGCAGGAGGCCACAAACGCCTGGCCTGTGCACTCAGCCAACATTCCTCACGACAGCAACAGGTCAGGCATCAGGGGATCCTGTATCCATGCCCTACATAGCTTGCGTGCTAACTGACGAGCTGTTGAAATGCCAGCAATCAAGCAAAAGCGGACGATGTGCCAAACCCTGAAGACTTTCCTCTTCCCTCCCTGGCCCCCCAATACCTCAACCTCCCCCCTCACCGCCCGTCCCACCCTCGTAAAGTTGACACATTCAGCACATTACTCTGGACTGCTTGCACTTACTTACCCTTGTCTCTGGCACATGTTTGCCTCCTTCACACAGACCCCACGGTTCACATTGGCAACTTGCCCTACGTGCTCTGAGGCAGATTAGTCACAGTTGGGTGTAAAGTTTTGACACTTGCAAAAAAATGTGGAAAAAGAAAAATATAGAACGGAGGCAGCAATTCACTGAAAATCTGTAATTGAAGAAATTTGGGAACTGACAATGCATGGCTTGGAATGAACAACGCCGACATTTCGGATCACGTGATTTTATTTTTTGTATGAAGATGAAATAGAAAATAATACTTTAGCCAACTGTCTAATGGCTCAGATGGTAAGGCCACTGCTTAGTGTAAGGTAGACCGATCTCTAGCCTGTATTAGTTTGAAACATGATTTATATGTTCAGCTACCCAATTTCTCTTGCTGAGGAAGTTAAATACCCCCATAGACTTCCCATATAATAGCACTGAGTTTTATGAGACAGTTACCAGTGGCCTTTGGTACTTTGACTCAGTGCCAATTCTTCATTGTGAGCTCAACAGGCATCAGCAGTTAACGTAAGCAATCTGTATGACTGTGTTAGGTTTATTGGAGTCGAGTCCGGTTCTGCCTTCATTCCTGGTCTCTATGGCTTAGGTTCACAGTGGGCATTGGCCTTATCATAAGAGCCATGAAAGTTTGTGTATATCCATCTTATTTAAGTTTAGATTGTTATAGCTGGTAATCTGTTTGATGGCCTATTTTGAATTAGCTGATCTCAGCTGGGAAAGCAGGTGGAAGATTGGAGATGATGGGGAGATTAATTTTCTTAAAATATCAGAGTGTGCAGTATTTGGCAAATTCTTAAAGAGTTATTTTTGAAGTCGTAGTTTTTTTTAAAGAACCATATACAACAGACCTCAAAGATAAGACTCAATGCAAAAAGTAGCCAAATTCTGGACATTCTGAAATGCTAAGAAAATAGAATAAATCTAAACCAACCCAAATGGAATTTCTCACCATCGACTCAGCATCATTGGCTCCTGATCCGAATTAGTGATCCCTGTTAGATTGTGCAGAAATGAAAGCAAGATCAGATTTGTGATGTCAACAGTACTTCCCGCACCCAGAGGGCATTGTGCAGGAAGTTACGTTAGCGATGACCTGCAAGTCCATCATTTATATCATTCATACAATCGGTAAAAATCTGTTTTTATTAATGGAAATGTATCTGCATTGGACTGGGATGGAATGTAAAAACTGATCAATATGAATGTTTAGCAATTTTCAGTAATTGCAGGTGAGCTCACACATGGAGAATAGCCACTTGGGCAATGCTCAGGCCTCTGATGATGGTGCTTTTGGAAATGTACCTCGGTGTGAACCTTACGAGAATAAAGGGCTGACTGAAGTTGAGGTGTGCTGTTCAAGTAACAGGAAGCAAGTGTGTAATGGCCCTAATAGATGAGCCATTGCACCCAACCAATAATAATAATAATAGCACCATGTGTAAAAACAGATGTTTATTATGCCGAAGGAGTTTTAATCACATTTTGTTCTCTTCCCAGGTTCTTTTTGAAATTCTTTCTGAAATGCAATCAAAACTGCCTGAAGAATGCAGGAAACCCAAGGGACATGCGAAGATTCCAGGTGAGCAAACCCTCTTTTTCTTATTTCTGAAGCCATCTTCCCTGCTCAACAACGGCTCTCCCTAAGCAATGACGGCAACTAGAGAGAGATGTAATGGATGGTTTAGAATCTAGCTTCACTTGAGTCTTTTCCCACATAGGAGAAGCAAATAAAAGGTCTGTACTGGTTAATCTACCATCACAATGTTAAGAGCCATTTCCAATAGTTTGACTATGAAAAAATGAATGCTACCAGCTTGAAGTGCTGACAGGTCCAGGCTGGCTAAGCAGGTAATTTGGCCGTATTTCTAGCCCAATTGACACCTAGAATTGAGTTTACAGCTGCTTCTCACATTGGCATATCAATGATGCTGTTAAAAAGTCCCCGACACTTTGCAGTGACTCTTCTCAGGTTGCACTGCACGTGCCCAGATTGAGTGGTTTTATGGTGACATCTGCACTGCATGTTAGTACATTAATGAATGGAGAATTGCACGCTGCGTCACTCAACTTATGTCTGCCACTTGTCCTCAGGCGTGTTTCTTTTCCTTAGCTGTCCATCTCTGAGTTGGCGTAAACCTTGCATCTACAAACTTTTTTAAACCAAGTCCTTGTGGTTGCATTTAGCTCACACTGATAAATTGCTGACTGTAAAATTGCTGCATTTTATGCAGGTGAAACAAATGCTTTGATCTTATTTTTACATTGTCAGCTCACTTTTCTTCTAATCGTCGTCTGCCACCATCCAACCATCTTTGGCTGAGCCAGAAAATCTCAGGCCCTTGAACTGTTCAATGCTCCTCTGTGCATTTGTCTAAGCAGGAGGTGGGTTTGAAAGATGTGAGGCTTTGTATTTCCTGCCCTGAGACAGAAAGTCTCCTTTCAGTGTGGGTGTGTGTGTGCAAGTGTCTAGTGGCTGGCCAAGTAATGGCAAGGCTCACACGAAGGATTTCTTTGATTTTTTTAAGACAGGACAATAGCAAACAATCATTATTTTATACATCAAAGGTTTCTTTTGTGGAGAATCATTGCACTGATTTACAGTGCCGAATCACTGTGCTGATTTACACTGACAATAATAGATCTCACTGAATTTCACTGGTGAATCAATTGGCTGAAATACACCGGATTTCGAAGTTGAGTGAAACCGGGAGCAATTTTCCATTCATTAATGTACTAACATGCAATGCAGATAATGATCACACTGTGCTGAATTACACTGAACCTTGCAGTGACATGCACTGGTGAATCAACCTTGCACTGACATACACTGATGAACCTTTTGAATGAATTACACTGGCGAATCACTGTTGTGAATTGCTGACCTTAATTTCATTGCTGAATCACCACTAGAACACAGCACATGGATCGATTTTCCTGCAATATTTGCTTGAAGTTGGATGCAATCTTATGTTGAAATCTTATGCAATCTTATCTTATGTTACAACATGTATGTACAACATGGTTGGTGTGGGTTTGATTCTCCCCCTCCCCCACCTCCACAGGACCACTTCACCTGAGCTATACTGACCTGCCGGATATCAATCGGGAGCATCAGTGCAGGAGACAGAGTAATAGAGTCTTTGCCTCCTAGCAGGTAGTTAAAGAGAGCATTGGTTGAGTCTCAATATGTTTGTCCTTTAGACAGCAGTTGTGATACCAGTGGACCAAAGAACATAGAAAGCTAACATCGAGGAAAAAGCTAAAATAACCAGAGCAATAGTCACATTTAAAGGCATCTCTTTTGCAGATTTCTTTGCTCAAATAAAGATTTAACAAGCTCAATGGTGTCCAGTTAGGAAAGAAGAGACTTCTGAGATACAAAACACCTGTCTTTTGCTCAGTTGGTTGCAATTTTGTCTCTGAGCAGGAGGACCATGCCTTACACAAGGGCTTGAGATGCTGACAGGCTGACACTCTAGTACAGTACTAAGGGAATTATTGGAGGAGCTGTCCTTCAGATGAGACATTAAAAAATGAACTTGTGGTTCTGATGTACATTAATCTTCAAAAATAGTCACAAGAGATGAAGAGCAGAGTGTTCTCCTGATAACCTGGCTCGTCCCACCGATTTGGCATCTCTACAAAACCAATAATGCGTTGTCTGTAAATATACACCTTCTCTGAGCCATTACACAGCTTACTGGACTCCTGTATTTGCCTAACTGGAGCAGTTAAATACCATTCCATCTCGTATACATCATTTCAGATTTGCACATCCACTTGTTTCATTGTCTGATAAATGTTTGTTGGACCTAAGAATCCATGAGCTTACAGGGTTCAAAGTGTTGCTCGCTACTAGTTTCAAATCCATTGACTAATTTTCGCCCATTTCCATTGTTGAGAACAAGTCAGTTTGCCTCCACCTATACATTTAGTCTTCATTGTGTGACTCTCCTTGAGGCGTTTTGGCATACAATAAGATACTATGACAAATGCAGGTATTATTTATTATTCTATTTAGATGTCTTTGGGGAAGAGTTACTCGTGATCTAGACAGCTCAGTCAAGTAGGGAAGGCAAGGGTCCAAAGGCTGATTGTACAGTGCTTCACCTAATAAATACTCCCACAACGGGGACTAATTTTCATATGGTAATGGCTTTCCATGTTATCTTGGTTCAGCAGTCAGCATTTCTTGTAGGCGATTGGTTGGACATGGAGAAGGTTACTGATCTGTTGACTCTTAAATGCTTTCTGTCAAGCAAGCACAAGCCCACAGTCTTCAAGGATGTGAGCACTGATTGCTTAATTACTGGCACTGTGTCAATTAACAAAGCCTTTGGATTTGGCAAAAATGGCATGCTTATTTAAATGGAAGGGGGGAGAAAATGGAAATAATTCAGATTTTCTTTAAGTGTTTCTCCACAGCTTTAAAATGGAGTCATCTCTCAGTATCAACTCATTTAAAAATAATATACCCTTGGATCTCAATAACATGAGTCCTCATAACACATGTAAGCTGTCAAACAAGCAGATGTTTAGTTGTCTCAGTTAATGTGGCTCTTAAGCATCTACTGTTGGATAACAAGCAGTCCTCTAACAAGGATGAAATGCTTCAGCTCTTTGCGTTTCATGTAACAACATTTAATGGTTATTGAAATGCAAATATGTGATCTGCATTCATCTCTGTGAAATGTTATTGGAACAATGGGATCCACTCAAGACAGATTTCTCTCATTTCACGCAGACCAGGCTTTGGCACCATGTTATCATTTTCCCTCCAATTTTCTCACCTATTCTCCTGGAGGCACGGACGCATGATGGAGTACAATTCCGTTGGTGTCCGCAACCTCCTGTACCTCATGCCGCAGCCTAAACAGTGAGCATTAATTGCCTATTTAATCATCAGGGAAAGATGAGAAAATCATCACAGCCAAGTTCAGGTCTGTCTTAGCCTGAGATTCATATTCCTTCCAGCAGGTTGGCACTGGACAGTAATCAGGAGCAGAAACCTTTGTTCTTTTTTCCCATTCTAACCCAATGACACTGAGGTTAACTACAACACTCTTAGCGCTCCCCCAGCTGACATCAGCTAACCCTGGACAGACCAGGGTTTGAACCTGAGGCTTTCCAGGCCTCCAACGCTTAGATTCTTACTGGGCGGTGAAATTACCAGGCTTTTGAACGGGAGTTAAGCACGAACTTTAGCTGAGATCATTTGTGCTGAAATATTTTAAGGCCAGGGTTGGCGCAGCTGCGGTATGAATAATCACTTTTTAATACTGAAGCCAGGACAGAAACCACTCCACTGATTTCCTCTAATTGGGCAGTTGGATGTACTTTTTATAGCTTGCGATCCCTTCGCCAAGCACCTTAGCAGCACTTAATGAATCACACCAGCAAACCCAAACTGGAAACGCGAGACGCAAAAAATAATGGCCGTTTGAGATGAAACGTTGAGAGAAACAGAGCAGGCCTTTCCACGTATGTTGTATTAATCATATGGCGCTTTGTGGGAAGTGGGTTAAAGTCCAAGCCTATAAATGATGGTGTTTTTGTAAAGTAGATTATTAGTTCTGTGCAGAGTTCAGGGAATCATTTTTGAAACTCCTGGTCGTAACAAGGTGTTCAGGAAGGTGGCTAGAACAGTAGGGATCTCTGAAGCAGGCTGCCATTTCTGTGGTTTATTGATAGGTCCGTGGGTTGATATTTTCTTCCCAACACTACGTCCTGTGGTAATTAAAATACCCGTTGAGAAGCCTCTTTCCCTCATTGCTAGTGCATTGACTCAGAGAGACATAGTATTTTGGGTACCCAAACCCTCTGTACCCATCTCAGCTTGGCTTGTTGGGCCTTGCTGTGTGTAAAATGTCTGCTGCATCTGGAAAGATAAGCTCAAATGGGCCAAAAGGCCTTCTTTATCCAAATCAATTGTGTGAAACCCAGAATCCCTTTTTAACTGAACAACGGAATCAGAGTTAAGTTGATATCCTGCACTTCAGTGGCTTCCAATGAATACATCCAACAGCCCATTGTGATAGTCAAGTGGGGATTGCCACACTCAGGATCACAGATGACATAACAGATCATAATTTTTACCCCAGTGTTTATAACTCAAATGAAACAACAGCCAGAGAGGGGACTGTTTCCTTTAATTGGGTAAACTTTTAGACCCCAAGCTGTTTGCTGTCTGGGTACTGCTGCTTTTGGAAAGGTTAATTTGACTGCTAAAAATGTGTCTATTTAAAGTGTCCATCCGCTGAGACTTACAGAAGTGTTTGCAGCTCAGAGTCGGCCTTTCGTCTCTTCATATGCCTAAAAGCCCACAAAGCACAATGCAATTAGAGTAAGAAGCTCAAACTGACTTGGGAATTTGAGGCAAAATAAGTTGGAAACCCTTTGTAATGGCTCGGGTAGCTCATTTATTATGAGAGCAAATCTATTAGGACTTTGTTTTTGTCTTTCATTTCTCAAGTGAGACAATTTTAATTAAATTAATCTGGCTGTCAATCTATCACTGATCAATCATGGTGCCTGGGCCCTTTGCAGTGCAGCTAGGGAAGGGCTGACAGGGTCTGATAATGGAAGAAGGAATAAACTTGTGAATTGAGTCAATTAACCTACATAATAGGTGGATTAAACATCACCTAGTTTATTGCACTTTCAGATGTCAGCTTCCAGAGTTGGGAGATTTAACAGCAATTAACTGACTGGTATGATATTTGTTTATATAAGGCTGAGCGAACAAACATAGCTTGAATGATTTCTTTCTTTAATCCTGTCACTGCCAGAGAGAAAAATATTACCGGAAGAACATTTTGAATCGTTCTAGATTGAGTTGTTTGTGGATGGAGTGTACAATAAGTTCCAAGTGCAGAGCCAATATGAAATAAATGATAAAATAATCCTAAATTTCAGGTCGGGAAGCTTGTCTGAAAGGACTTCACAGGATTTACTATGAAGTGCAGTGACTGTGTATTTTCAGGTCAAACGCATTGGAAGAATAGATTGCTTTAGAAGATACCATGAAGGAGATAGATGGAGGAAAAAGTGGAATGAAAAGAGAACATTCTCTTCTCATTCCATGCTAATTCCTTCTACCGCGTTTTGCCCACAAAATACAGTCAATTCACTTTACAGTATATTCTGTGAAGCGCTTTGAGATGGCTCAAGACGTGATAAGGCACTATATCAAATGCAAGGATTATTATTATAATAAATAAACTTCATACTGTATTTGATATAGATAGTGCCTTTCTCTTTGGGAGGATGTCTTAAAGTGCTTCACATAATTTGCTGTAAAGTTCAGTGACTGTATTTTGAATGTAGCAAACAGCCATGAAATTAATGACTAATTTAACTTTTGAAGCTAAGTTGCATAAAACTGCCCACAGTATTTAAAATGCAACTTCAGCAGCGATCTATAGAAGGTTGGAATAAGTTCTTTCAACTTATGGTTAAATGCCTTTGAGACACAATCTAACATTTGAACGCATTACCACAAGTGGCTATTGAAGCCAAGTCAATTACAACATTTAAAAGGGAATTAGATGAACACTTGAAAAATGAAGATTCAAAAGGGCATGAGGAAAAAGCAAGGAAATAGGATTAGAGCAATAGCTCCAGTGGAGAGTGAGCATGGACTCAGTAGTTTGCTTCCTTGCTCATTTTTAATGATTCTATGAATATTTATTGACAGTAGCTTAATATTGACTGGAAACTTCAGTGAATGATCAATAATTACACCCAAATCCTTTTGCTTCGCTTCCTCTGATATTGGACACTCCTTCATTTTGTGTATATAGTTAAGGTTTCTTGTTCCAATTAACTTAGAGTAGTTTACATGATCTACATTAACTTCCAGCTGCTGCTGCTTCCCCCATCTGCTTTATTGGTCCAGTTTGTTTCAAATACTACCTAAACTCATTATATTTCAAATGTTCTCAAGCAGGATCCGAGACTTGCTGCTGAGTGACCTGATAATGGGCAGCACAGGACAGAGGAGGGGGGTGTAAGCAAAGCAAAGGCTATAGCAGTCCAGGATTAGGGAGGGGGAAATCAACCAGTGTATCTGCACTTATGCATTGAGCAATCTGAAGCCTAACGTATCTCATGGTCTTGGCCTTAAGAACATTGTCTTAAAAATGTTGATCTTGCAGAATGTTGGCAAATTCAGGCTTAATTTGAAAGCCAGTTTCTTTTTAACATGGTTGATGTTTTTCCCTCCCTGCAGCCCAGAGGTTCAGAGACCAATTTTAATGATCTATCACCTGAGACTGGCTGAGACTTGGCTAGGCACAGATGTGGATTGAGCCTGGCATCTTCCTGCTCTCAGTTTAACACTGAGACATTGGCCATCGCAGAAGCCTGGCCGAGGAACTTCAACACGCATTGGTAGTTTCCTGCAATTTCTGTTGAGGTCTTCAACATTTGTCTCTCTAACTCTTTCATTCTCTGTATGCAGGTTGTTGTTTCCACAACAGTGAATGTAGATGGCCACGTGCTGGCAGTCTCCGACAACATGTTCGTACACAACAACTCCAAACATGGTCGGAGGGCTCGAAGACTCGATCCCTCTGAAGGTACGCCCTCTTATCTGGAACATGGTAGGCATATCATTTACATTGGTTTGCCCTGCTGTTTTCTTTTCAAAATGTAAATATTTGTACACCTCTGTGTGTCTGATGTTCCAATCCTCTCGTTGGGAAACCTTTTTTTGATTCTGTTGAAGAAAGCACACACTCTCTTTGACCAAAGCTAGATTTCAAAGAATTCAGGCTATCCCACCAATCAGGGCCTGACCATCCTAAAACAAATCTGCTGTTAGATATTAATTCTTTGAATCCTGGGTCATTTTTAATTAAAAAATAATTTTGCTTCATGTTGTGGGGTCTAGTTTGCAGTTTTTTTTATGTTACTTCTTAATAAGGAATCTGAATCATGCAAATGCGGAAATATTCTAGTCGTCAGAAGTATGGAACTCCATTTCTGACTTGTCCTACTTCTGGAGAGGAGTTTTCAAGGATCAGTAGGAATTTTTTTGGGATTCCTGATTATCCCATTGAGAAATGCTGCACATTAGACCCTATTGTGAACTGAAAGGATAATCTAAAGTAGCTGTGTTTCTGAGATGTGAAGACTGACCTTAAAACAACAGGATTATCCAAGGCTTTCTCATAAGTCTTACCAGTTCTCAAAGAAAAAAATGCTTACGATCTCTATTTTAATCCCTCCAAAAAAAACAATAATAAATTGGTCATTTTCAATCCATGACTGTTTGTGGGACATTGCTGTGCGCAATTGGCTGCCGCGTTCGCCCACAAATATACAGTCAATTCACTTTACAGTATATTCTGTGAAACGCTTTGGGACGTCCTCCCAACGTGAAAAGCGCTGTATCAAATGCAAGGATTATTATTATTATTTATTTTCCTCCATTTTTCTCCCTTTGTCAAGCTTTGTCTAATCTGCGAAGTTTGTAACTGGATAAGAAACTTGTGAATCCTGGATATCTGAAGCTCTGAAAACCTGCTCAGAGAAATCAGAACTGTGATTGGAGTCCAGTTGAAAGTTGGGCATGACAATCCAGGATTCACAAGTTACAAATTCTTTTGCAAATCACACGATTAAGACCCCATTTAACTCCACAAGCCCTTTGAGATATCTCGTCCAAGTGGCCATTCTTTACATGTAAGCCCAGACACTGAGCGTTAACAGGGTATTCGACTATGAACAATATTACAGCTCATTGGTTTCCATCTGACATCCACAAATACAGACTTTCTCTAGCAGGGGAATCAAGATAGTGATCAGGAGTGGGAACCTGGTTATTTTGTCTTGCTTAAAACAGTGGCCTGAGACCAATTATAATGCCTCAACTACCAGCACAGACCTTGCAACTTTCTGTCTGTATAGTTAATTGCACTGGAGATGATAACTTTAAGCATTGGGCATCAGAAGAGACTCTTTTTCCTTTTCTCTCTGTTCTCATTTTCCTAGTCTTTTACTCACCCTTTCCCCAATTTGCCTGCAATGTCCATTACTTCTCTGCGGACCAGTCATCCATTCGAGGGAACCAGGCACTACCTTTGTTGCCTTGTGACCCTCTCTCAGACAATGAAAAGTGAGTTCTTAGATAGTGTCCTGTGAAAACAGTGACAGGTCACGTGGACCAGTGATTGCTGTTTTTTTCCATTTGAAGCAATTCATTGACATTGAACATAGATAGGATTTAGCTGAGAGATAGTGGGTTGAACAATCCAACATTAGCTTCCTCCTGTTTGGTGGAATGATAGGAAGAGGGTAGGTATAAATTAACAATTCTGATTTTGTAGGACAGCTAGTGCTACAATATATATATATATATATCACTAGATCATTGTCAAAGCTTGGTGAGTGTTTGTCTCACCTACACTCAAGTTTTGTAGACAGGTTTTAAGTCATAAGGGAAAAATTATGTTCTAATTGGCTCAATTTTGTATGCAAATTAGGTGCAATTAGCATAATTCCTTCATAAGTTATCCATAATAGGAAAACGATTATACTCTCAAGTTTTATAAAGATTGGTCTTATGGATTTGGTGTTATTGAGGAAAGTCTATTTGCTAATTAACCTAATTGGCAGCATAGGCAAATGAGATTGAATTAGCATAATGCACTGATATGTTATCCCAATTAGCCAAATGATTATACTTTCCTACTTTCATGAAGTTAGAGATTTAATTTTAGTTATTAATGAAAATGTTACAAAACTTTTACACCGTCGACTCAGGCCCTGATACAAAGTGCAGCTGTTTCCACTTCCCATTCTTTATCCGATTGCAGTGTTGGTGTGAGCCTGGAGCTGGGAGCTCCAGTTATTTTTCAAATTTCCATTGATTCAATGTGGTTTCAGTAAGATGGAATTTCAATGTGGGGTCCGCAGGTCTGTCCAACTATAAACTGGTCTAAGCTCTGAGGTGTGGCTGCCGGTTAAAGTATAGCATAGCTCATGGACTGCAGTAGTACAGGCGTTAAATTGGAATAGTTCCCGTAGCGCTTGAATCTCCGTGCGTCTTAAAAGCTGACGGTAAAACACTTCCTACAAAGCCATCAATCACATGCTGTCTCACCCAATATCGAAATATTGGGTAAGTTATTGCGAAGCTAATATCTCTGTAGGAATTGGAACGATGCAGTCCCATGACAATCACTGCACCTTCCGTTATGTAGTGACAGTGGGAATGTGGAGACGATTAACACAATGGGCCGGTCAGACCTTTGTGAGCATGTGGAATCATTTTGTAAGCTGCAGCATAATGCACAATATAACATTGTTTGTGCTGTGGGCTCATGTTACATTTTCTTAGAGGGAGAAGCGTGTCTGCCACCTTCTACATGGAATGTGCTGTAGGGAGAGGATTGCACTGATCTTTTATTGGTTGTGGACATGTAGCCTTCAGCATTGTGCATAAGGGATACTGCCTCTTTAACTCATACCAATAAGTATTCCCACAAATTATTTATTGTTTCACTCTTAACAAACCCCTGCACATTCAAGATACACGGTCGTCCCACAGAGTTTGTTGTTTCGGCATTAGCATTTTGTTTAGAAGATGTGTTCAGTCACTGCTTTGTATCGACATACACAATTTCCTTTTTTCAAGTCCTTTCTTGCTCTCCCATTTCCTAAGTGGACTGTTGCCATTCATCACGGTGACAGGGTGAATGTGATGGTTTCCGGGCAGCCGCAGTCCCTATAGTCCACTCCACCATTGTCTTTCTCTGTCCTTTGAAGCTAGTACCTAGCGAATGCTGACTTCCCCAACCTCCCCTCCTCCCCCACACCACAGAGCCTGGAAATGACAAAATAATGACCAGGTTTCAGCTATCGGCATGAGTCAGTGGAACTGATGCCAACTTCTAATCCAGTTCATCTCAATGCCTTTAACCTTGAAGTTGTGAAGTTATTTTTAACTCATTTAGAAAAAAAACAATAGACGATGGGGCAGGAAAGGTTTGGGTCCAGGAAATGTGGCTTCTGAAAAAACAAAGTGTACAATGCATCTATTTTCTTATAGTGTGCACAATACCTCAGCACTGATGCCTTCAAGATACCACAACAATTTACATTTTACGTCGGGAGGACGTCTCAAAGCACTTCACACAGCTGACTACACCTAGTATACAGCGCACAGCCATTGTTCTCACACCACTATATAACAACAAACATTACAGTACAATGCAATTTACATGAGATAGTACCTTTCACGTCAGGAGGATGCCCCAAAGCACTTGACAATGCCGTCTGGGCACCTGAGCTGGGGTAGGAACCTACGGGGACAGGGAGAGGAAAGATGACTAGAAGTGCGATCAAAGGGCTAAGTTTTGAGACAGGCCTCGAATGAAGGGGGGGAAGGCGGGAGGGAATCAGTAATGCTCCAGGATAGAGTTGCAAATCTTATTACAGAATTGTTATTATTTGACCACGGATCAGTATATGTTGTGACATTCTGTGCTGTCGTCTGAAAGATAACACAATTATCCCCAAATTACAAAACTTTTGGTCTGCAAATGTCCTGTCAATCTTCTTCAATCTATCACACTTATCTCTCTTTCCATCTGTTGATGTTTCAGTTCTTTCAGAGGTGACGTTTATTGTGCCACAAACTGCAAATCCTTCTTCACTAAAGGTCTCTTTTCAGCCAAGTTCCCGCTGCTGCACATATTGAAATATAATCAGTTTATCAAAATATTATCTTAATTTTAACATAAAATATGCAAAACAATTGAACAAAAACTGATGATCGGTTGGTGATAACAATCCTTGCATTTGACATGCCACTTTATTGCATTGACAAAATGATTCACAGGGTTTTTCTACAAAGTGTGGTGACTGTGTATTTGCAGGCGAACATGACATTGAAAGATTGACAGGCACTTTCTGAAAACTATAATCTTTGAAACCATTTCCTGAATTGAATATATGTTACACTCTATCACAGAAAAGGAATTTAATTCCCAACTAAATACTCACAGTGATCAACTGAATGTCTCGAATAACCCAAGATATGTATTGCCAGTCAATTCACATGATGAGATACTTCATTGCTGCAGATTATCATTTCTGAACAAACTTGAGAATTGGTGTGTCTCAACTTTTACTTGTATCTGTAGAAAATAAAACAATTAGCTGGATGTGCCCTAGCATTTAATCATTGTTGTTTTTAAAATCCTACCTGTTTATTTTCACCAATATGCTACACTTTTAAAGGTTCAGTGAGAACATATTGCAATCATTTAAGTTTGGCTTTTTTAAAGTGGTTTAATTGGTTGACTTTAGCTGGTAAGTACTAGCGAAGCATTGTTCCTAAATACCCTGAGGGCTCATTGAGTAAATGTGTTGCCTGGGTCATGGGCGGTCTCAGATTTGATCCCTGAGCTCTTGAGTGGGGGGAATTTTACTCGGCTTCCATGACCTGTGTGGATCATGGAACGCAAAAAATACTTTCTTTATTGCTATCCAGTCACTCAGGCTGGAAAGGGTATTTGTGTGTATATGGAGGGAGGAGTGCAGGGTGATTGTGGTTGGGTTGAGTGAGAACAGGATTGAGCTTGGCTGCGATGCC